TCAAATATTTTGTATTTTTTCTCATACTAATATAATATGTGTGCACATTAATTATATTAAATGCACTTCAATATACCATCCCATGCGGTGAATGACATTGTATTTAATGTGGGCTGTTTATTTTATTTCGTTTAATAATAGCTTTTAGAGTTTGGAGTCTTTCCTTGTATGGAGTGGTGTAGAGGATTTTGGTATTAGACAAAATGCAGATAAACAAATAAATAGAAATTGATATCGAGTCTACAGGCGAAATAAAATACATACTGTTTAGAATAAACAGCCTCTATTCAAATAATAATTGTCTCTACCTACGCTGATGATGACTTAAGAAAGGCGAAAGCTTGGAGCATATTTCAGGAACCTTTCTTCCGAAATGACCTTCGGACAATTACTGACGGAATCTCCTCCTTTTCCCAGAAGGATTATTCGTAATTTGAAATAATAATAATAATATTAATATATATATATATATATATATATATATATATATATATATATATACGTTTCATTAAATAATATAGACAAGTGTTGTCTATTTATTTTATGTAAAATTTGTTCGTAACATCTGATAAGTTTGATAACATTATCATTAAACAAAGAAAGAAATTCACTATATTGATCCATATTTTTTTAATATAATCTAAGCTTTCGGCTTACTTAAGCCATTATCAAAGATGTAAATCACAAACATATTAAACAATATTAAACAAGCGAAAATCGCACAGCATCTCATGACGTCACACATGACTACACGAGAGTGAATTGTAGAATGAAGTATGGAAAGCCGTTGGTATAAACGCTTCTAGCGTCTTATATGCGCGTGTTTATCGTTGCTTAGTGATTAACTATGTAAACAATGACAGACTATCATCACTGTCGTGTCCGTATATTGTTTATTGTGAACATAAAGGAAGAGAATCATAGGGGTAGGGAAGACGTCTCGTGTGTGGTCAGTGCTGAATATTGCTCATCCAAGACATTTGGTGAGACAAGAAAAGAGAGGGGGAAGAACGAAAAAAACGAAATAAAAATACAATGAAAGAAAAGAAATAAAGAAACAAAGAAAAGGATAAAACACACACACACACACACACACACACACACACACACATATATATATATATATATATATATATATATATATATATATATATTTATATATATCCTCCCGTCGGTTTCGACGTATGAGAATCTGACAGCTTAATAGATTCAGTTATGAAATTTGGTGCGATAATCTTAAGTGCCACTTAAAACCCGCTAGTGATTTACAAAGGAGGCCACATATGGAGCAAGAGTGAGGATTGTGAAATGAGATCACTATTAGATTGGCTGACCTTTTAGATCTTGCTGACGCTCCTTGAAGATGATTCAGACAAGCAGATTGAGTCCCCTAAAACATGTCGATCTTCATTCGTCGTATTCGAGGTATGAGAGTCAAGAAGATTAGTTCCTAAGAATCGACAGCCCAGACACCAGCACATATGATTTGATTATAGTGGTGAAGGCTTTGTGCAGAACCAAGTACACTTTTTGAAGGGCTTAATACAGCGACCTCGTACACTACGTGCTACAAGGTCTCCAAACGACCCTTCGCAGGTTTTGAATTCAGAGTTGTCCTTCTCCTAGCCCAGTTGTCATTCAAGGCTATAGACCCCAGTCTGCCTTACTATTTACCCATAGCTGGATGAAGGATAATTATATTTCCCAAGAGTATTAGCACGTAAGTGTATGTAATGAATTCAAACTCAGCTCTCCGATTCCTCAATCCGAGTCGCTATCCACTACCCCACCTTGCTTCATATGTAGTCATCGTCATCCACAGACTGTTTCACTGTATCGCAATTCATCAGTGTGGCTATATATATATATATATATATATATATGTACTCGACTCTCCCGTCGAATTCGACGTATGAGGGTCAGGCAGATCAGTTCCTAGGAAACTGACATCCGGACACCAGCACATGAGATTTGGTTATAGTGGTGAAGGTTTCGTGCCGAACCAGCCACACTTTTTGAAGGGCCGAATACAGAGACCTGGTGCCCTACGTGCCACAAGGTCCCCAAAAAACCCTCTGCAGGTTCTCAATTCAGAGTTGTCCTTCTCCTAGAACACAGTCTGTCCTGCTATTTACCCATAGCTGAAGGGAGAAGAAGAGGATCAATACCTTTCCCAAGGGTATTAGCACGTAAGTGAATGTAATGGATTCGACTGGAATTCGAACTCGGCCCTCCGATTCCTATCCTTTACTCCACCGTGCCTCCTCATATATACAGTGTAACCCGGATATAAGAGACCCGGATATAAGAGAAACCCGGATATAAGAGCGATTTTCTCTGGTCTCAAATTAGAGCCCATACTTACCTAAACAAAATATATATGAGACTTCTTCTCCGGTCCCGACAACTCTCTTATATCCGGGTTACACTGTATATATATATATATATATATATATATATATATATATTTGGTTGGATAGATGTGAGTTTGTGACCCTGGGTTTCACGCTTTAGCGATCGTCAGACAAACTGATTAATGTTTTAAAAAATTTGGGTTTATATAGATTGCGTGTATTGGTGTTATTGTGGAAGTGGGGGGGGATTTCGTCGTTTTGTCATTCATCGTACTAACGCAAACATCGATGTATGCAGACACATATACATACTTGGTCGTCCGTCGGGACTCAGACATATATAAACGTATGTGGGCAGTTTCGGCTATGACACATGTATGTATACGGGTACCATATATATAATATATAAATAATTATACATATATATATTTATTTATATTCATATACACTTTTCACACATATATATATATATATATATATATATATATATTTTATATATATACACACACACACACACACACACATATATATATATATATATATATATATATATATATTAGCAAGATAAGGTTGATATATGAAAGTGTTTTAAAATGACGAATGATTCTGTAGAGACTTTTTTCATTATTTGTAAATTGACATGTATTCTTTGCTAAGTTAATAGAGTTGTTTGCCGTTGCTAACGGAAACTCCTTTAGTTGCTAACATGACTAACCCTCTTTCTTCTTGTAAACGTCATGGAATAAAATCGTGTGTAGCTTCGCCCGTCCTCCTCTCTCATAAGGTAACCTGAAATCGAAACATGGTGCCAGAGGTAAAAAAATTCAAATATAAAGAAACAAAACAGAAGATTAGTGTTAGTTATGTTAGCAACTCAGGGAGTTAGTTGCTATTATTTATAGAGAGTTCTATAAAGGGAGATTACTGGGTAATATAACAGTTAAATCCATAGTTGTGAATCAAGCCGAGCTTCTCGACTTGACGGTCGAACTCTCTGCTTTTGAGCAGAAAGGAACCCGGACGAGGTTCCGCCGAAGGGCAGAATCTCGTTCGGGGTGAAAGACCTACCCTATCTCGTTTTTACGAGTCATACGGGCATATTTTTGGCTGAGCCTACGGGCTCAGGAAACCCACGATAAAAACGACCTTGTGTCACATGCAACCCTCGTGGGGGGGTGGCTAGATACCGAATCCATAGTTGTGAATCAAGCCGAGCTTCTCGACTTGACGGTCGAACTTTCTGCCTCTGAGCAGAAAGGAACCCGTTCGGGGAGAAATGACCAACCCAATCTCGTTTATACGGGTTATACGGGCATTTTTTGGCCGAGCCTACGGGCTCGGGAAACCCACGATAAACTCGGCCTTGTGCCCACATGCAACCCTCGTGGTGGGTGGCTAGATACCGAATCCATAGTTGTTGAAAGAAGCCTGGTGTCCAAGTCTATGCGAAATTTTCCGCAAGAAACTGGTGCGAGATTCGAAATCACGATTATAGCACTGAATAATGCCTGAAGAATAAGTCAAAGAAAAGAAGAAAAATATACTTTTAAAAAAATGTATAAGAAAAATTGTGATCCAAAGAAAATAGAAAGCAACTAAAATCCCATGGCTTTAAATTCCTTTTATCTCTTCATGCTTTTATTTTCACGGAGTCTGACGTGAAAAATAAGCATCTGATTGTGGAAATATAAAAGCAAAACTGAAACGTGGGGTCGCAAACAATCTAAGAAAAAAAATAAAAAATTCTTATCTGAAAGGTTTTTAAAGAAAATAAAATTAAAGAAAAAAACTTGCTCTTACAATGACAATAACAAGATGAAAAATAGAATGTTCGAAAAAAAATAGAATTAATATTATCCTTAAGTTCGACAACGAAGAAACAATTTGACGAAGAAAGAAATATGCCAGTACAAACAGCAAATAAAAAGAATATGATTAAATTGAAACCGATATATTTTACTTTTGCCAAAAATGTTTCAAAAGAAGTTGAAAACGAATAAATAAACCCAATAAAAAGCATCATAATAATAACAGTAGTAGCAGTAGTTGTAGTAGGAGTAATAATAATAATAAAAAACATAGATAGATAATCTCTGAATATATGCAACAATGGGGGTAGAAATATATTTTTTAAAATCGCTTTTTTTCTTTCATTTTTTTTTTCTTTCCTTTGGAACTAAATCGAAGAGGAAACGTTTTGAAAAACTGTGCAAGATGGAGATGGTTACTCAAGAAGCAACTACGTGAAACGCGAAAGAAATGAGTTATATCGATGATAAGAAACAAGTGGAAGCCGTAGAAAAGCAAAAAAGGAGAAAGTCCATCAGGGAAAAAAACAAAACAAAACAAAAAAGAACCCCCCCCCCAAAAAAAACAAGAAAGATAAGACGCAAAAAGGAGGAAATTTTCTGTGCATAATTTCGGCGAAGGTTACTTTAGATCCAAATTAAGTTTTTTTTTTCTTTTTTTCCAGTTTCCTTTCTATGACTTGATACATTTCAAACGACTATGTCTATTCTTAAACTTTTACATAATAAATTTAAACTTTAACACACTGCATTATTTTTTACTTTCCTTTACACTGAATTACTTTTTCAAGGCTTCTCTACAGCAATACTTCATTTTAGTCATGGTCATTTTCTGTTG